GTTCCATGGCAAGCTCTTCAGTTGGGTTTCAGTTATAGCCGGCAATTCCAGATGCTACAACATTTTAACTGTGGCTGCCAGGTATCAGTAAGATTCTCAAGCCTGGAGTACAACATTCTTTACAATGTGTGCCTCATATTTTGAAGACCATCTGTCTCATTTTCATCTACAATTGGCTCTGCCAAAGTTTTGCATGCCAAGTGATATTTTTTAAAATAAGATTTTGTGCTACTTTAAAAATGCTTCAAAAATATCTTTGAGATATAATTCACACACCATAAGATTCACCCATTTAAAGTGTACAAGTCAATGGTTTTTAGTAGATTCACAAAGTTGTGCAATTGTCACTACAGTCTAAATTTAGAACATTTTCGTGACCCCCCAGAAAGAAACTCCATGCCCATTAGCAGTCACTCCACTTCTTCTCCTATCCTAGGCAACCACTAATGTAATTTCTGTCTCCAAAGATTTGTCTGTACTTACCAGGAGTGGCGGTGAGGAAGGAGACCCAGGCATCTGGGATCACCTTCCCCTCGACTTCCACAATGCATTTCAAGAGAAGAAAAAGCAGGCCAACTGGTGCCTCCCGAATCACCTTCCTGTAAATAACACGCTTGGTACTGGGGAAACTCTCCGGAAGACAGTTTTTACTTAAAACAAGATCAAAACCCCACCCCACTCCTCCATCGGGAGACCAGAGCCCTTTCATATGTGATTTCTAACTGTAAACCCGAAACCCTTTCATATGTGATTTCTAAAACTGTAAATCTGAAACCCTTTCATATGTGATTTCTCAAACTGTAAATCCGAAACCCTTTCATATGTGATTTCTAAAACTGTAAACCCGAAACCTTTCATATGTGATTTCTAAATCTGTAAGCCCAGAAACCTTTTCACATGTGATTCCTAAAGCTGTAAATCCAAAACCCTTTCACTGGTGATTTCTAATGCTGTAAACCTAAGATTCTTCCACGTGTAATATCTAGAGTGTAGGCCTATATAAAGGCAGAACCTGCCTTTGTTAGACGAACTGGGTTTGGACAACTCATCACCCGGCTCCCGGCCGTAGTAAACCCCTCATTTCCCCATTCATTGTTCGAGAGCTCTGTTTCTCGTGGCCAGTCCTGCTACATTGGTGTACACCTGTAGTCCCAGCTACTTGAGGACGCCAAAGTTAGAGGATCGCTTAAGTCCGGTAGTTTGAGGCTGCAGTAAACTATGATAGTGCTACTGCATTCCCTTCTGGGTGACAGAGTGAGAACCCATCTCTAAAAAACATATAAAGATTTGCCTATTCTAGACATTTCGTATAAATAGAGGTATACATTATTTTTGGGCTGGTTTCTTTCACTTAGCATGTTTTTAAGGTTCATCCATTTTGTATCATGTATCAGTACTTCATTTCTTTTTTGTCCAAATCATATTCCATTGGAAGTATATACCAATTTGGTTTATCCATTTATTATTTGATGGGCATTTGGGTTGTTTCCACATTTGCCTACTATAAATAATACTGCTATAAATATTCACATACAAGTTTTTGTATGAACATGTTTTCATTTCTCTCCATCATTATTATGGGCTGAATTGTGGCTCCACCAAATTCACAATTTGAAGTCCCAACCCCTAGTATCCCAGGATGTAATTGTATTTAAAGATAAGGTCTGTACAGAGGTGGCTATGTTAAAAGAAAGTTGCTAGGATGGGGGCTCTAATCCTATATGAATAGTGTCCTTGGAAAAAGCCATCAGGGGCCTGTGTGCACAGAGAAAGACCATGTGAGGACACAGAAAACAGCCATCTGCAAGAAAGGAGAGAGATCTTAGAAGAAAACAGACCTGTCAGCACTGTAATCTTCAACTGCCAGCCTCCAAAACTATAAGAAATAACTTTCTATTGTTTAATTTGCTCAGTCTATGGTATTTTGTTATGGTAGCTCTAGCAGAATAAGGTGCATACCTAGGAGTGGATACATTGGGTCATGTATTAAGTCCATTTAACACTCCAAGGACCTGCCAGACTGTTCATATAAGTTTTTGTATGAATATATGTTTTATTATCTCTTAAGTACGTAGGAGTAGCATAGCTGCTATAACTATTTGACATGGATACATGGTTTTCCAAAGCAGCTGCACCATTTTACATTCCTACCAGCAATGTTTGAGGGTTCCAATATTCCACATCCTTACCAAAACTTGTTATTGTCTATCTTTTGATTATAGTCAAAGGACTAAGCTCTGATTTTTTTTTTATGTTGCTCCAATTCCTACCTAAGGTGTCTGGGGAGTCATGTCCTACAAACCATGGATTCTTATCAGATGGGTTTTATTTGACCCTATATATTGTGACTTGCTTTGCAATCTTACCCTGGCATAACATTATGAGACAAGGAAAAAATATTTAACCCCAAAATATATTTTCTTGCCATGCCTTGAAATTGCCCTGCAAAGTCTCTTGGGTGTGGGGGAGGTGGGAATCTGCATTCTATAGAGAATCCCCTTCCCCTTTTGTTTCCCTTTCTTTGCAGATCCAGTGGATAACCAACTAAGAGCCAGGCACCCGTTTAAGTCTGATAAGAAACATTTTACAAACTGCCCTCTCTTTGAAGTCTGCTATCTGAAAGATTCCTCTTAACAATACAACTAGTTCTCCACAATCCTTTATCTTTAATCTGAAATTCCTTCCTATTGATCCCAAGTCTTTAGACAAACTCAACCATCAACCAGAAAATGTTTAAATTGACCTATAGCCTGGAGGGCCCCAACTTTGAGTTGTCCCATCTTTCTGAACCAAACCAATGTATTTCTTAAATGTATTTGATTGATGTCTCATGGCTCTCTAAAATATATAAAACCAAGCTGTACCCCCACTATCTTGGGCACATGTTCTCAGAATCTCCTGAGGGCTGTGTCACGGGCCATGGTCACTCATATTTGGCTTAGAATAAGCCTCTTTGAATATTTTACAGAGTTTGGCTCTTTTCATCGATAAGTCATATGGTATAAAGTGATAGCTCATCATTTCTTAATAGCCTTTATTTTCTAGAGCAGTTTTACGTTCACAGCAAAATTGAGCAGAAAGTACAGAGTTCCCATATACTTCTCACTCCCCGCAACCCAATGCACAATCTCCCCTACCATCAGTATCCCACACCACAGTCGTACATTTGTTTCAAACGATGACATATCATTATCCAAAGTCCATAGTTTATATTAGGGTTCATTTTTGGTGTTGTACATTCTATGGGTTTTGGCAAATGTGTAATGACATATGTCCACCCCTGTGGTAGCATACAGAAGGCTCACTGTCCTAAAAATCCCATTTTGTTTATTCATTCCTTCCTCTTCTCCAAACCTTCATATTTCGGTTTTGATATCTACTTTCCCAGCAGCTAGTGCTGTTGATCATCTTTTCATGTGCTTATTGGTCACTTACATATTATCTTCTTTGGAGAAATGTCTATTCAATCCTTTGCTCATTTCAAAAAAATTTATACTTTAAGTTCTGGGGTACATGTGCAGCTCGTGCAGGATTGTTACATAGGTATAAACATGTCATGGTGGTTTGCTGCATCCATCCCCCATCATCTACATTAGGTATTTCTCCTAAAATTGGGTTTTCAGTCGTTGGATATTACTGCTTTTTAAGGTTGAATTTGCTCCCTACCAAGAAGGAAAACTCATGACTTTCGTCTACTATGAGAAAGACATGAATACTTTATTATTGTGGAGAATGGCTTCCTCAGCAAATTCACTGTTCCTTTCTACTTGGGATTCACTAAATGTTAATAAAGCCACTTTGTGGTTTCAGAGCAGAGCCATCATTTTTCTTGGCAGCCAGATTTATATGACTCCAAAAGAAACAACCAGCATTAGGCAATATTAAATAAAATTTAGAGATAAAAGCTAATCAGTTTGAATAACAATTACTAACTGATATAAAAATCAAGGAATTAGAATCAAATAGCACTTGTTATTGTTCATGGGCTTCAAAAGATTTATATCAATTTGGTACTATTAAAACTTCCTCGAAAGTTAAATATGAAACACATGGAAATAACAGTTACATGAGAAATATTGAGTCATTTCTCAGTGCTTATTAGCTGGGTCCCTTTGGTGGACAGGATTTGTGCAAACGTCTTAGTAGCTACATGACTCTGCTCTGTTGTGAGCCATATTTATCATATTTGTCACATTTTAATTTATTCTAACCAGTTAAATTCAACTATTTACGGAACACCCAGTAAATGGAAGGCACTGCCTCTTCTACTGAAGTCATTAAATTCTTTGATACATTTTAAGAAAGAAATAGTTGCTTTTTCTGTTTAGTAATTAAAAAAAAAAAAATAGCTCCCCTGCCCCCCATCTCCTTGTATTTCTTAGTTGGGTGAAGATATTCTGGAACTGAACACCATATATTTTGGGAGAAAGAAAAAAAACAAACCTAAAATGGAAAATGCCATAGTTATTTAAATGTAGGACTTAAATGAAACTCTTGAAGTTTAACTGCATTAAAAAAAAATCCTTTCCTTTTCTTAAAAAGGAGATTGAGACCATCCTGGCCAACATGGTGAAACCCCGTTTCTACTAAAATACAAAAAGTTAGCTGGGCACGGTGGCACGAGCCTATAATCCCAACTACTAGGGAGGCTAAGGCAGGGGAATCGTTTGAACTTGGGAGGCTGAGGTTGCAGTGAGCAGGGATCGTGCCACTGCACTCCAGCCTGGTGACAGAGCAAGACTCCATCTAAAGAAATATCACTGCATAAACTAGATGACTGCTTGAGTCATCATTCACAACTTATTAAAAAGACAGAAGTGCCTCTTACAGAAGTGTATTTATTTGCACCCTACCATGCTGGTAGAAAACTGGGAAGGCAAATCTGAGTGCACGGTAGAAAACAGTCAGTTGCAGAATATAAGCATTTACATGATTATAATTACGGCTTGAGAAGTGAACAGCACTGGGGAAGTTTTAGGTAAATATAACATCCCACACTGATGCTTTCACAGTTTAATAGCAGAATCACTTATAAACATTCTGATAAAGATCAGAAACCAAAATGCATTCCTGTTTAGAACACAGATTTGCATTTACCAAAGAAGATAGATCTGTGACAAAGGAAAAATACACTCAATATTATCAACAGGCAATGACGCTCTCAGTCAATGGACATTTTTACAAAGACTCTAGAGAAATAACTGGGGATAGCAGTTGTTTGATCATGGGAAGGCGGGAGAACAAAAGAGGCATGGGGGGCCTTAAGGTTCTGGGTAGAGAACTGGAGACATGATGTGGTAAATGTTAATTAAATAGTCTTGGCAGAAAATAACCACAGGTAATTTCAGTAAGTATATCCTAAATAAATAATAAAATGTGCAGAAGCGATTTCTAAGGAAATTTGAGCACAAATGTTTACTCCTTAGAACACTGGAAGAGTCAGTGATCAGAACTGTGCTCACATAGATATCACAGGTCTGGAAAGATCCCATAGGTCGAGGACACATCGCTCCTCTAATAGGCTCACTAGGGCAGTGTGGAGCATTAAGAGCAGGTTTACTGGAGAGACAAAGGTAACAATAGGGTTTGGAAAGGCAGAAGATTTTTTAAAAAGGCTGTTTTTTTGATAGGCAGAGAAAAGTTACTGGTTTTAATAAAAGTAGTCACCTATACAAAGATCATTATACAGACAATGGAGGCTGTTTTTTATTTCTATTTTGCAGGAAAACAACCATAAGCTGCAATAAAAATTTGGTTTCAACATAACAAAGTCAGTTTCCCAAAAATCAGTACTGAGAGTCACTAACATTAAATGATGAAGATCCAAGGATGGTGCGGGGATCTTTACTCTTCATAGACAAGTTATACATGCCTTTGAAAGGCTGTCTGAAGGCAGGGGAAGGCTGGAGATGACAACTTTGGCCTCTGCCAAGTACTTGTGCTATTTTCTGTGTGTGATACTATCTGTTTTATAACTCAGAGGCAACACCACATACCTAGCATAAGGCTTGAACTCCCTTTGGGGTTATCAATTACTTATATAGCCTTCTTCTAAGGGAAGGCTAGCAAGGGGTTCATATTCGACCCTTACATGTGATGAGCATTCATGTGGGCTTCACAATACCCAGAGATTCTTGTAAACAGAAAATTTTAGAAAACAGCTATCTGATCTCACTATGAAGAAATCTTACTGACTTGAGTTCCTTTATCAGAGTAGACAGGCTTAAAATGCACTGCTTCCACTGTACTGCTGGAATTCATTTTTTTGTTGTTTTTGCATTGGTTTTGAATTCATTTGGTTTTAATTCATTTGTTTTACATTCCATTTTTGTATTTGTATGCCAGTTAAAAATTATGAAAAGGCACATTTTGGGATTTTGTTTAGCTAAATTCTATAAAAATGGAAAGATACCTTTTATTCGACTTACGTAAGCCTGAGGTTATTCAGCACAGGTGATCTCTGCATTTCTTCTGAAAGGTTATCTTGTCGTTTAATGAACATGAATAACGTAAGCACACTGGGAGGGCTACTAAAGGAAAGACTGAAAAGACACGAATTCTTACTCTGTCCACCTGAAAGGACAGCTTGACTTGGTGACTAATCTTGCGTTGTTAAAATCAGTTCCTAAATATTTAGATAAGTAGTTGGTTTGATCGTTATTTGTAAAGTATTTGTAGTTACATGCTGAATTATCATGTTAAGATTTTGTTTGTTGTTCATGTGATATGAAAGAAGCCAATTCCTAAAGCTGAATGTGTGGCTTATTCAGCTCAGGTCACATACAAAGAGAAAAGCTGAAGCTGCAATAAACACTGAGCTACCTGGGTTTGAAGCAAAAGGCTATGAAGTAAATGCACTTACCTTGTATGTATCTTTTAGTTCTAGTAAACCCGTCATGTAACAGAAAATGATTCTCCGGGTCCAGACACATTTAAGTTTAATGATTGGGGCTATTCTAACAATTGCGGCTATTTCATTTTTTCTCACTGCTTCATTAGCATACCATCCATTTAAGAACAACTACTTATAAGCATAGTAATATTTTCAGAGGCTTTAAAATAATAGAGGAAGAAAACTTTAAAAATCCTTTGTAGTCAAGAAAATGTGAAAATCAGATTTGTATTTGTTTTGGACAATTGGGAACTGTCACAATTGTTTTGAAGAGGTAACAAATGTATATATATTAAGAGATTCTATAGTATCAGCCATTTTGACATCTTTTGTTGAAAGAAAAACACCAAAAAACCCCGTATGTTCTATGGCTCAGAAATCAAGGAATTCCACAACTTTACTTTCCACTAAAATATTTATTTAATTGATATCTTACAGAAATAAATAAGAACAGTTTTTGTCTAATAGATAATTTTATATATATATGTAATTTTTTTTTTTTTTTTTTTTTACAAAATTGAAGCATATCAAATTGTTTTCTCTAAAACATAGCTCAGAAAGGAATACTAGAAAACAAACACAAATACGGGAATAGTCTCATTATAAATTATAAGCATGGGCCTTCTGAATCTCAGCATGACATGTTATTAGTAAAAGAATGTAAGATATGGAGTCAGGGGACCTGGGCTCCACTGTTTACTTGCTACATGTCCTAAGAAAGTTTCTGAACTTCAGTTCTCTATACCTTGAAAACAGGAGTGATATTCATTATAACTTCACAAGACTGTTAGGCAAATTAAACATGTAAATGTATAGGAAAGCTCTTTTTAATATGTGAAGAGCTATAAAAATAACAGTTTGATTTAATTTCATATAAAAGAATCAATGCATACCTCCTTTTAACTGAAGAATAAGCACCAAAAGCGTGTGTGTGTTTTCTTCAGCTGAATTATGTCACTCTATAAACCTAGAGTAAGAAAATGCACCTTAACTGAGCACCAAAGCCTCTCAGACAAATGGGATCCAGGGGTGGTTCTATGAGTTCTCCAGGCAGCTAAGTAGGATCTAGTAAGCCCTGAGGGTCAAAGAGGGCCCTTTAAAACTCTGAAGGCTCAAAGAAAAGGAAGCCAAACAAGAACATTTATATTACATCAAATGGCTAGGATTAAACAAGCTACTCCTTATTCAGCAATTTCAAAGTCCATTAATTCTTCACAGAAGAAGAAACACTTGGTTATTATCACCTGCAACAATTCGCTTATGTGAACATGGCATTCTGTTGTTCAAAAGGTCAAAGACTCGTGCTTAAGGGAGGAACAACTGGGATAACAGGACAACTGTACCATGAATTCAGATATCAGCGGCTAAACAGTCTAGTTACAGAAGTACATGGGAAAGAAAGGAATTCAAGACATTAGTATAATAATGATCTAAAAAAAAGTGTGCCGCATTTCCATGTTATAATGATAAGACAAAGTCATAAAAACTGCAATATTTACAGATACATCAATCTTACAACATAAAAAAAAACTTTAATAGTAAGAAAAATTAAGAGTAGGGAAAGCAGATAATTTTAAGGTAACCATTGATACATTTCAAAAATCTATTTAGAGTTAACTGTTTACATTGACACCACTTTACACATAATAGAAATATGAATATTTTCAGTGTTTTCATTTTTAGTAGCAAGATGCAGAGGAAAGAAATAACTGTCTAACATTAACTTATTGTAAGGAGTTGTATTACTGCAGAATTACTAGGTATGAAGTTATGGTATAAACTTACTCAAAATGACAAGTTAATTTAATTCACCATCTACTTAAAACATTACTAACAAGATATTTGTGAATCATGTGCTAAAGATACTGAAGGCCCTTCCAAAACTGAGATCTATGTTGGTTGAAATACCAGGTCATATAAAACTAGACTAGTTTACTTTCTTATTCCAAATCTTTTTATGACTAATCTTACCATAAGAAAAGTACACATTACCTCTCTTAATTCCCTTGTATCATCAGATACAGATATTATTTGGGACAATAAAATAAATGTTTTATTAGGAGTGTAAAATTAAAAATCTTTATAGAGCTTTTGAAAACAGAATATTGAAAAGGGCTCAAGAAGTTCCAGACCACTGTATAACCAGAACAAGAAACAAATGCTTTCAACTAGGAACAGTGTTAGCTGATAACTACTTGGTTTTTAACCTTGTAACTTTGCTCTACAGCTATGAAAGTTTATTAATACATTAAAGTCGATGGAATGAATAAAGTGTAGTTCATTCAAGCTCTTCAGTTTCTTTGGTAAATAGGTCTGCCAGGTCAGCCACGGTCAAGACGGAGGCCTCTGAATGCTTCACTGATGAATTTGTGTGACTGCAAGGTTTTCCAAACGAGCACAGTCAGAAAGAAACCCCAAGGAATCAGCGATTATATTTGTAATAATAACTAGACCCATATTTTTTCTTAAGTTTTTGTAATTGGGCTATAAGAAACTCCCAGAGGAAAGCAAGTGATAAAATCATTATTATACCTTGTCAAAACCAGTGAAGACTTCTATATATTACTTTTAGGGTTTGTCAAAATGTTTCTTCTCTGCTCAATTAATAGAACAAAGAATAAAACCCCTGACAACTGCTACTATGCTCTCACCTTACAAATTACCTTCTTACCACCTAAAGTTAATTTGTTTCAAGGGAATTTCAAAGAACTCTTATAACTGCTATTTTATTAAAACAGCCTAAATAAAAATCACTGAAGTCCGATACACAAGGATATAAGAACTTTAAAAAGCCGTCACGTTTTAAGTAAAAAGGCTCTTGTGGAAGCCTCTTCCCTTCCCATAAACCATCACTGGAAGAAAATTTCTGGTGTCAAATTGCTTCTTTGCTATGTGACAATCCCTTCTAAGGCAATAATCTCTTTCTTGGGTACATTCCAATCCTACTTACCTCCTAAAGATGTAGAAAGATTTACATTTTCAAAAAGACTAACAAATTACAGCATAAATATTAGAAAGTTCTATGATTCTAAAGACAAACTTTTAAAATTAAGACTGATTTGGTCTTTCTGCTG